GTTTGCCCGTACCCCCTAGGAGCGACCCTCTGCTAGAGGCAGCCCCGCTCAATTAGGTGCTTCATTTAGCTCCCAGCACAGTTTGGTTGCCCACACACTGGTTTTGTGCTGTGTTAGATGAGCCCTGGCATCCGTGTGGGGTGGCAGATATGACCTGGGGACCACGGGGAGCGTGTCCCGCTGCAGTCCCCCCATCCGAGGCGATGTGCATGGGCAGGGGCTGCTCCCTCTGCTAGAGGCAGCCCCGCTCAATTAGGTGCTTCATTTAGCTCCCAGCACAGTTTGGTTGCCCACACACTGGTTTTGTGCTGTGTTAGATGAGCCCTGGCATCCGTGTGGGGTGGCAGATATGACCTGGGGACCACGGGGAGCGTGTCCCGCTGCAGTCCCCCCATCCGAGGCGATGTGCATGGGCAGGGGCTGCTGGTGAGTCCCACGGACCCTGCTGCTGGCGGCAGGGCCATGAAGGGGTGTAAAGGCGTCGGGGGGCTCAGGGGAAGGTCTCATATTCATGGTTTTTAGGACCCACTCACTGGAAAAACTGCAACCACCTCCTTCAGCATGCGGATCTCCTGGGAGGGAAGGAAAGGGGCCACATCAGAGCAATGCCGTGGTGCTGTGTCCGGGAGAGCCCCGTGGGTGATGTCCAGCCGGGACCCCCCCAGCTGCCCCTGCAGACCTGTACCTGGAAGTGTGGGCTGTAGTGACCATCGGCGTTCACGACCTGCCGCTCTCTCCCGTCCCGGGACAGCACTGTCACCACTTTTCTTCCTGCCAGGTGAGTGTGGAGCTGGGAGGCGAAGATGCGGATGCCAGCAGCGGGCAGAGCCTGGGGAAAGGACAGCTCAAGCCCCCATGCCAGAGTCCATCCCTCTCCATTCCCATGCATCCCCTTGCTGTGTGCTCAGGACCAGCCATCCCTATGCTAGCTCCAGCACAGGGGTTTGGGGATTGCTGTGCCCTCGGGGCAGTGTAGAAGGGGGCTGCTTGCAGAGGGGACAGATGCTGGATCTGCTGCCAAGTCCAATTTATGCGCTGCCGTACCCTAAGTCAGCAGCAGCAGCTGGGCCAGATGCTGCTTGCTCCCTTGCGTTCGTTAGTGGTGGCACAAATGATTCCTTTTGGGGAGGCCCTACAAAAACATCCACTAAAACTTCCCTGAGAGCAAGGTAGGAATTTGGAAACCATACTTGAGAGAGCTCTTTGGCGCTCCTTGGAAGCAGAAGCCAATATTCCCATGTCCGTGGGGGAAAGCACCGCTGAGGCACTGCAGCTCAGCAGTAAGTTTTATGGGAATGGTACCCTGGGGAGATGGAGCAGATGGTTCCCCAGGAGAGCTGCTTCGGGGGGGATTCAGCACATCCCAACCAGCTGCTCACTCTTTGTTGTACGCAGCAGATCTTTTTCTTTCCAGCACAACCTCATGGTAAGGGGTTCAGGGAGTTTAAAACTGGGAATTGGGAGCCCGAAGATTGTTGCTGTATCACTGCTGCCTGGGACCTGGGAAGAGCGACTTGCAACCTCTCTCTGAGGTGAAGCCGGGGCGGGGAGGACGGGCACTCACCAGCTGGGTGCATTTGTCGGTGCAATACCCCGTGAGAAGGAACGCGTCCTCGCCCGGGGGGATGGCCATCACTGGCGTGTAGACCAAGCCCAGCTCCATGATGCCAGCGTCGTAGAGTCGCAGGGTGGCCGTGTAGTAGAGCCGGATTCCCGAGGAGTCATGGCGACCTGGTGGGCAAGAAGACGAGGCTGCAAGTCACTGCGGGAGAAGCGACGGCTGCTGGGACAAGGTCAGGCGTGAGAAGTGATGCTGTGCTGCAGTGGGTATGGGTCGCAGCTTTCTTCACGTGTGCAGTTCGTATTGTTTTAAAATCCTTCATGCAAGTCTTTACTGAGCGGCCCCAACACATGCCTGGTCCCCTAGTGAGGTCACTGACCTGAGGTCGAATTGCTCCCAGGAGGGGTAAGCAGTGCCTTTGGAGAGCCCACAGCAGGAGGAGAGATCACGGGGTGCTTTGGAGAACTCCCTCAGAAACATGGCTCATTGCACCTTTAACATGTAATAATTAAAGCCATGCTGTTACTGGGGGCCCGGCAGGAGGAGAAATGCATATGGAGCAAGTACTCCTTGCATTTGGAAAGCTTCTGGTCTCTCTTGCATTTGAGATTGTTCCATTTAACCTCCCCCAGGGAGCTGGTGGGAGCTGGAGAAGACCCTGTGCCCGTGGTGTGCCCCTGGCAGATGCTGACCGTGGGGCAGACTGAGGCAGCAGCGAGCTCTGCTGAGATGCACAGCCAAGCTCTGCCTCTCGTTTGAGTTGTGAGCAGGGGGAAAGGGCAGGTTCAGTAGGCCAGGAGGGGTTCAGGCTGGCTTTGAACCCTCTGCCTCTGGGCTGGAGCCCACCCAGGGATAAGAATAACGAGGGGAGACACTATTGGTTAACAAGCAAAAGCAGATAAATTATGAAAGACATGAGCTCCGTATTTATAGACGTGTTTCTTCTCGAGTTGCCGAATGTGCTATGATGGATCCACAGTACATATGCTCTGGTCTCCTAAAAATATACTTGGGTAGTCAAGACGCTACTTGTTTTTATGTAAATGAAGAAACTGGGTTGTTTGGAA